AAAAATAAACAGCATCATGGGTGAAAGCAGTATCATCAAGTCTCTAGCACAGAAGAGATCACAGCTGTTGTCATATAAAAAGATGTAATTTATAGTTATATTACCAATCTTTAAGAAGATGGAAGAAACCCTGTTTATGTAATATACAAAACATACTCTTGAAGGGATTAGACTAAATAATGCCCTAAATTCAGCATCTTCCAGTCTAATAAAGGACATAAAACCTGTTCAGCAATCTGTTTCTATTTTAAAAGACAGGCTATGGTATACATTACAAATATTGTTTGTAAAAGAGAGCTATGGAAAGAGGGTTGGTGGGATCTTCTGCATATATTAATGCATATTAATGCCATAAGAAGTAAGGGAAAAAAAATCGAAGTTTAAGATGCCCTCCCACATAAGGAAAAGGATTTTAAAGCACTTATTAAATTACTTCACTCGCTTGAGCAAAAACATGAGCTTTCTTGGAAATCAGGACAAGCTGGTTATATAAGACCCAGATAGTTCTTTTTTAAAATGTTATTTCAACCCATGAAGATTTATATCTACAGTTAAAAGAAAAAAAAAAAGTGCATGATTTGGGCTGCGGTTCTTAAAGGGATCTTAATGTGTATAATTTAGAATTACTCTAATTAATTAGTTAATTTTATATGAAATTGTGAATAATAGCGCTACCCTCCTGGGCTCCGACTCAGTCAAATGGAGCCTGATTTAAACTGTAAGCTTCAGAAGAGGCAGGGATCATCATTCTGTCCAGTACTGGGGTACTGCCCCGCGTACTCACGTCCTGATCAGCTAGCAGGGCCGCTGGAGGACAGCAGGGCAGGCTTTTCTTTAGCGTTTCACTAAAAGTCTGTTTGCTCTGCAAACTTCAGGGCAAAGAGGAAACTGGAAAATATGCTGTGTAAGAGCACATCTGTCTGACGCCAGATCTGTTTAATCGAGTGCTATACAAGTTACTGTAAAACTGAACAGTAAAATCTCCGACAGCATCATCTGTAGGACAACAGATTAGCAAGAGACATCTCCGGTTTATTTATTAAGAGATCAAAGGAACCGTGCACTGACAGACAAGTGTAAATAAGTGACATGGAGGGTTTTTAGGAATGGCCTGGCGCTGGCCGGGGGAGCACTCACGGGCGCAGGCATCGTGGCGGGCGCGCACCCCTCCGGCCACACAGCGTGGCTGCCGCTGGCCTGGCACAGCAGAGCGGAGCAGTCACCCAGCACGGCTCTGCTGCTTGCAGCAAAGCTGCCGCGCCTGGCGAGACTGAGCCTAACGCAGATGGGGCTTTCGTGGTGGTCCCCAGGCTGGCATTTGTCCCTGCCCCTGGCAGGGTAGTGGGTCAGAGCCACTCTCTGGCTCATGACATCGCTCATTATGAAAATGAACCCTTCACTGGGCCCAGCTTGCACCTCTGCTCTAGCAACAGTGAGCCTGAATGGGGGTTTTACCCACACCCGAATGGCAAAAGATCAGAATTCGGCCCTTGGGTGGATGAACTATCCTTCAGGCTGGCTCAAATCCTGCCACATCTAACAGGAAGGTTTCTTTTATGGAAGAGAAGTTGAATCTTCAAACTTAATTTAGAAAGAAAAAGAAAAAAGTGCCCTGGCTGCTAAAAGAAGCACTCCTTTCAACACAATCCCTGCTCCGAGAGGATGCCCGCAGCAGGGTCATCTCACCTAACTTTAACTGCCTGCAGGGCAGCTGTCTGCCTGAGAGAGCTCCCGTGTCCCAGCCCACGCTCCCTTCACTGAGCAGAGAAAATGGAGCTTTCAGGACACAACGCAACTGACCTATTTTAGGTACATACCTCAGGATGAGATGAATCAGCCCCAGCAGCGCCTGTCTCTCTTCTGTTGACTATAAAGGAAGTCTAGCCAATATACCTCTGGCCAGGTAAATCCCTCCCTTCATGCTGAGTACAAGCAGAAAGAAATTCACAAAACTGCTCAGAATGCTGCTAATTCATGACATTAACACCACACTGCACATGAAGCATTTAGGATCTGCAGAGCGGAAGAAGTGCTGCAATTAGCGTTAATATGAAGCTGTAAGGATTCTGACAACACAAGTAAATTAATATCTAAGCAGCACGTCCCTAGAGTAATCGCATAGTTGTTATAAAGGGAAGTTGCAGAAAATTACCATTTGCAAGGTTGCAGCAAATGTAAAGATAATTTCTTGATGTAGGTCAGTGCGGGGATCTGAAGGCTCAAAACAGCCAAGGTTCAATGAGCCGAATAACTACAGGCAGAAAAAGCTGGAAGAGGGTGACTGATAAAGACTGCAGATGAATGAGCAAGACGCCTATAGTTCAGCTTAGGTTCATGACAGACACATGGAGAGCAAGCTTAGAAATATTCTAATGGAGTATTAAAGAAAATGCGAGTGAAACATGGTCATCCTAGGGACTGCCGTTTGCCTGCCTGCCTGACGTAGGGATAACAGACTATTTAGCAATGACCAACAGCACAAGAGGAGATGGGAAAAAGGCGAGTGCATACGGCACTGCCTATAGAGGGTACCAATATCTGCACAGGAGAGCCATCCCCGTAACTCATGGCATTCCAGCGCTGGTCAGCTAGCCCCCACTCTGCTCCAGACACACAGTGCTACATGAGCTGCCAACCAAACCCCCCGAGGGAAGAGCCTGCTTGCCAAACCCAGTGTAGCTGATTCATGTGGCTCAGCAAGGCTGCAGGAGCGGCGCCTGCAAGTGATGGGCCTGGGGACGGATGGAGAAGCAGCCAAGCGCGGGCAGTGACAAACAGCCTTGCTCTGGTGTACCAAGAGTAGGGAAGAGCCACTGGAATGCCAGCAGAGGCCTTTGGGAAGGGTAGATCTTCAAAGCTACCCCCTCCATGCCCTGGGAGGACATCATGCCCTGGGAGGACAGATGTCCAAGCAATGTCCAAGCACGCCACAGTGCAAAGCAAAAGGACCACAGTCTCACTGCAAAATGCTCAAGTGATAACTTTGCCAAGTGATAACCCTGCAGCAGCAGATTCTTGGGATAACAAAATTAAAATATTTTAATAGTGGTATCTCATGCAAAATGAATAAAGAATTAAATGAAAGGATTGAAATGAAAAGCTTAAGTATTCCAGCTATGCTACTTGGTCTAATGGATGACACTCTCTGCCTAAAGGCCTTGTCCCAAGGCTTGTCCCTTAATACCTCCATGGTCAGAGCAATTTATCAGTGTCTGAACATGACCACTAGCAAGCTCATTAACTGAATCAGTCTGGATGAAATTTAATTGCAAGCAAAGACATAAATGTGTTGTAGTTCAAGGATGGCATTTTCAAATTTGTGTGAAAGGACTGAAGAGAACAAAATCCCATCAGTTCTCAAATGATTTGCATTCTTGGCTTTCCCTAATACATCTGAAATTCAACATTGTTAGTTTTGCCAGTACTAACACTACAGAACTTACAACAAAAAATATTCATAACTAAGTTACTTATACAGCTGTATCAGCCCTGTACCTATTATCCATTCCCCTGTAATTCAAGGTATGATGGGTTGAGATTCAAGAAAAACTAGTTTTGTAGCCAAACTAGATTAACGTATGATTTTCAAAAAATACTCTTTCAAAACACATGAAGAGACACGGTTCGCATTTTAGCATTTTGGAAATAAATCCTACTAACATCTACTGGTGATCAACTAGTATTGCCTTAATTGTCCCGAGCACTACACTGGACTATATGGTGCTATCAGCTTCAAGAACTGTAAATATTTGTAACAGACTCCTCTTGGCTGCTGTAAAAGTGTGGACAGATAATAGTTGATTTTTTCAAGCACAACTACTGCTGGCTGGAACTTAAAAGTCATCTTTTCTGCTTCCAGCAAAAGCTGGCAACATCCATGCACACAAGTGCAAGGACAGAGTTGGCTCCCAGGCTGGATGGAGCCTGGCACAGCTGTGCGTGACAACCTCTCCCATGCCACTGGAGTGGGTGACATTGAGGTCAGGACAGGACATCAAGAAGGTGGCTGGAAGAGTTAGGGTGTTAGGAGCCAAATGATCATCCGAGCCTCGAATGCAGATGATCCTTATGCTGGCTCTGTCATGTTCATATAACGCATCTGTTCTCTCTAACATACTTTAAAAATCTGCTTGTTTTGAAAAACAAGACTGTTCATAACTTTTCCTAACATTTTAAGATGCAAAATAGTATTTAACTATGAAGTCATCTATGCCAGGAAGATTTAAAAAAATCTAATGTAATTAACACTTCCTAAAGATCCCGATCTGATTTCCTGAAGAATAACATTACAGGGGTGTAAAAAGGGTCTTCCATTTCTAACTTTCTACCTATATTTTCATTGTTTAAGCTTCCAAAGCTTCTCTTTCCTGATAAAGAAGACAGAACAGCTACAGTCCTGACTTTCCAACAGTGAAGAGAGGCAGTTTTGCTAACGCACGGTATTAATTTAAACCATCATTGTGCGTGGTTTCCTACTTTTGGAAGAGGATCATGTGCTCCTTCCAACTGGAGAGTTTGGGTATGGGGTGACGGAGGAGAGCGTTCTGTTTATATATTCTCCCATTCTATAACTCATCCCATGAGTGGAGAGAAGGTAATGATATTTGTGATAGATCTACATTTTTTTAATTTTCAAGACCAGTCCGGGTGCACAGATAAGTTACTGAGCCATTATAATAAATCATGGAATCACAGAATCTCAGAATGGTTTGGGTTGGAAAGGACCTTAAAGACCATCAAGTTCCAACCCCCCTGCCATGGGCAGGGACACCCTCCACTAGATCAGGTTTCTCAAAGCCTCATCCAGCCTGGCCTTGAACACCTCCAGGGATGGGGCATCCACAGCTTCTCTGGGCAACCTGTTCCAGTGCCTCACCACCCTCATAGTGAAAAATTTCTTCCTTATATCTAATCTAAATCTGCCCTCTTTCAGTTTAAAGCCATTACCCTTTGTCTTATCACTACGTGCCCTTGCAAAAAGAAAGCAGCATGATTTTTACCGTATGAGAGCAAGCCTGTCTTTTTCAGATGGATGATCATCAAGCCACTGGGAGTAGCGGGCAATGGACCACTCAGCCCTCTAATACAGAGAAACACAAAAAACACCAATTACACATAAATGTGAAAAAGGAAACACAAATTTCAGAATCAAATATGACATAAATGAAGGCCACATGAGGCTCTCATAATACTGCAGTGATGCAGAATGAGTTAAGGAATCAGAGACAATTAACAAAAATCTCCCAACATGTTATCTGGGGACTCAGAGGTGATCTCCTACATCAGCTGTTTGCCCAGTTCTGACAGGGGTTTGAATCTAGATTTCCTGCATCTTACACAAGCAGGATCCTGGCAATTTCCAGTCTGGGATAAGACCTGCAATTTCTTCTGTGAGCTGACAGAATATTAAAAAATTGAGAGGCTATTTAAAATCAGGTTATCATTTTCCTACTGATAAATAATCAAAATACAAAGTCAATGACCATAACACCTTTGCCACAATAAAAACAAAAGCCAACAAACCATATAAAGTATGAGCTTGAATACCTTTTAACTAAAATAACTAGGGTGAACTACAATGTTCATTCCTCCTTAGGCCATCTCAAAAGGAAAGACAGGTTGATCTCATTACCTGGAAGGGTGATTTTAACTCTGGTGGTGCTCTTGTAAACAAGAACTGAAGAATAATGCTGAATGGAATAACCTCTCCCAGAGCTGGGCTACTGGCAATATGCTCACTGGTCTGGAACAGCAGTGGTCTGGAAAAATGTAACAATATACTTGTGAAAGAAAGAAAAAGCTTATCTTATGCATTAGAAAAATGCCTATATGGTGGCAATACTACATTAGAATAGAATAATCTGATTTTTTTCCGCTAGCCTGCATCTTAGGTTTTCAACAGAGGTTCAGTTTGTAAAAATTTACAGAAGTTGCCTACTGTAATGAAACAACACAGGACTGTAAATTTAATATTTCAATGAAAGCACTTAAGGTAACTATAGAACTCATTGTCATACAGAAGTTGCACTGAAAGCAACACAAAAAAAATACAATTTAGGCAACATTTGCATGACAAAGATGGTTAAATCATAGTTATACTCCACATAAAATTTAAAAGAACTTTAATCTATTTCTAATTTGCAGGTGGGTGTTGCCAAAAAAGCTCTCTGTTCAATCTGAACTAACACAAGGCAATAAATCAGTTTTGAAATACAGTTTGGTCATACTGCCAATTGCTAGTTCCTGCAATTGCAACTCACCTGAATGACCTCAGCTGTCTGTAAGATTTTCCTAGGTCAGAGACTCGCCGACATAGAGGTGCTACTGCTAACTCCATCTATAAAAACAAACATTTCAATTTGAATTAGATTAGATAAAACTCAGTATTGAAGTAGCCTGCTTTTAAGCAATACTCCAGACTTGCAGACCAAATCATCAACTTCTCACTGGTGGCTGCATGTGAGACAAGAAGCTATTCTTTCCTTTCATAGTGCATTGCCCAAGCCAAGACTTTTGCCTTATTCTTGGCAACACAGTAAGCATCCCATGACAAACGATAGCAACAGTCCATGGTTAAGGGCAGAAGGGCTCTCTTCAGCTTTCTGAGACTGAAGCTTTGTTCCTTGCAGCAGGCTTATTTTATTAGTGATGAGTTTCATGATGAAGCATTTACATCAATAAGCCAAAAATCTGATCTCAGCCTGGGAAGAAAGCAAATCTAGGCAGGTTTCCACAAACCACTCCTACCGCAGTAAGAGAGCATACCTGTTTCAGCTAGGCACCCTGTACTTTGGTGAAGGACAAGGTTTAAGTGATTTCCTTCTTGAATACTCAGCCCCAAATTCTGGGGCACAAAACCTATGCAGATTAGACAGAAGGTAGCTGGGACCTATTGCCACAGTGTCATATGGAATCACAGGCAAAAAAGCATCAGTAAAAGCATTATTTTCATACTGTTTGGTCTCTGAGTTACAGCAGCCATCTTTAAAAACAAACAATTTTTTAAAACTCTCTGTTTTTTAAGCAGTACGGAGCTCACCTGCCTTTTCAAACAAGAGCCAGGCTCCATTTGAGTTTTTACATTATTCACGTGAGACTAAATTCTGTCACAGGCTCTTTATTAACAGTGAGGACACAGAAGTGAGAAAGAACAATTGCACTTCCAGATCCCAGACTGAACATGAACATTACATGGCAAAATTTCAGTTAATATGCACACTAATACAAACACCACCACTCAAAAAAATCCCATAGGTAATTTTATCCAAACATGAATTAAATATTTATTTTTTGCATTCCTGAAGTGTCAGTCAACAGAAGAATGAAATCTTTATTCTCCAAGTACGTTTTTTAAAATCCTAAATTTGAAAGACTATTCAGACTGATTTCCACATAATGCACAATTGAGCTAAGTTTCAAAGGACAAAAGCTAAAATAAGTAACAAGATCAAAAACACCATACAATGAACTTCCCAGTTAAGTAACACTGCTGAACGAGTTTCAAAGCATTTGTGGTAAGATGCTATTTACAGTGAAGCCTTTAATACTATTACTCTTTCCAGCTGTCGCACTTCCTTGGACAGAGCTGGCTGCTGGGCCACCAGCTTCACCAAGAGCACGTAACTACGCTGGGGTTCCAGCATAAACAAGAATGATGGTGTGGTGAACTACGATGCCATAATTAATCTAAAACCAGAAGCAATTAAATTAGCCATTAATGAAATCATAGAATCATAGAATGGTTTGGGTTGGAAAGGACCTTAAAGATCATCAAGTTCCAACCCCCCTGCCATGGACAGGGACACCCTCCACTAGACCAGGTTGCTCAAAGCCTCATCCAGCCTGGCCTTGATCACCTCCAGGGATGGGGCATCCACAGCTTCTCTGGGCAACCTGTTCAATCAAGACCATACACTTCAGGCACCCATCTTAAAAAGCATGTGGCAGGATGGGAGTCATCTCACCTACTTCTCAACATCTACAGGTTCTCTCCATACTCAATAGAGAGAAACAGCCACTCCCTGAGGCACACATCTAATATAGGTCAGGTGGGTCATGACACAGGAGTAGCCACCTACGTGACACTCAATCAGACACAGCTGGGAAATCCAGAAGGTCTAGCCCTGGCACCGACGCTTCCTCTGCAGGCAAGGTGAGGAGGGCACCTCTGACAGGTGATGGGGAAAGCCAGCTTACAGGCACTGGAAACCCACTCCCCAAGCCTAGAAACCTTGGAGTACATGCCCCACATCAAGCACTTCCAGGTTGTTTGAAATCTGCACTTTATATTGAGAAGAAACTCGCAGAAGCAAAAAGTGAATAAAAATCCAGGAAGAGGAAATAAGGATCTTTGTCTTCTGCTTTCAGACAACGCTCCAGCTCTGGGTAACAGCCAGGCTCCCTCCTGGCCCTCAAATCCTCTAGCCTAGGCTATGAACTGGCCCTTTCCCACAGCTGGGTGGGATCCCTGCCCCGTCCCCTCCCAACCCTCGCAGCCTGAGGGCCAGGTCACCTCTCCCACATGCAGCCACAAGGGTTCCTGTTTCTTAGGCTGGAGAGCAGGTGCAGCCCAGCTCTGTGGTTCCTGAGCAAGTACACTATCCACAAGACAGCACAAAAGGCACACCATGGGAAGCCAACCTCCCCACGCTCGAGGAGGAGTCGTCAGCCCCTGTACCACAGGTGAATCGGCCGCAGAAGGCAGCGAGGTTGAGTGTGCGCTCCCTGGACAGGCAGGTTCTCCCTGGGGAGCTCTCCTGCAGGGAGGTGCTCCAACTCCACACTACGATGAAGCTTACATCAAGTTCAGCATGTTGTTTCTCCAGGTCCCCGGGATACTTCTGAGCATGTCTGGGAGCCAAGAAGCCAGAGTGCTGCACAGGATCAGGCAAGTGGCTGAAAAGAGGAGCTAATCAAGGAGGCTTTGCTGCATCCTGATACAAGAACCCTACAGCCCCTATAAAACAAATGGGCGCAAGACTGATTTTTTTCAGAGCGTTTTTCAGGCACCAGTATTGGCTAGGGGCAGCTGGAAGTAACTGATACCCTGCAGGAGCTGGTGTCCCAGCTCTGGTGGGAACCGTGAGCTTGTAGCTGTGAAGAACCAGAGAGCAGATAATTCTTTTAAGGGCTTTAGAGAATTTGATAACAGGCAACAAACTGCCAGTCTGACTTGTGGAAACAGAGATGCATGGATCAAACTGTACTCATGAGGAGAAAGAAATCCCAGCACAGCAAAATGTAATTTTGCTTAATAAGTTTTAAATGATTGTTTCACTCCTGAAACAAAATATGATGTAATGAGATGTAAGTGAAACTTTCTACAGCTTAACCAATTCCTTATTAAAACAAATTTAAATTATTTCTCTTGAACATACTTGACAGTTTCCATAGATCAACACTTTTAGTCTCAAGTACTAAAGAATGAAATTTACTTTGGAAAATTCTGTTACTTCATCTTCAACCTTTATTCACTGTAGGAAATTATTAGTACTGATAGAACTAGATAGATTTAATGTCAGCAGATGGTTGATTCGTGAAGTACTAGTTGCCAAAGAAAAAAATTGTTTTTAGGCTTTGCAGCATACTATACCATCTCAAATTGACTCATGAAGAGTGGCAATGAGTGAAAACTAATGTGATAAAAATGTACATAAACCACAGAAACTTTATTTTTAATTTACAACACTTGTCTGCTATGTGTTATAACCCAATCTCTCCAATAAAAACTATACTCCACATAACAACTAATATTGTCTCCTTGACTTGAATTTTAGCTGTTTATCTGAGCCCAATGATGTAGTGAGATGCTACAGCATCTTTCTGCTGTTACATTCATTTCTGCAGGCCCCCTGAGCAGGGTTTTGTGTCTTTGCTGCGCATCATGCTGGCCGGCCAACACTGCTGGCCTGGGAGCAGGTGCTGGGGAGGAATCATTCGGCTGGGAACAGCTGCTGTTTTTAAGGTGCTGGAATTGGGCAGAGGATTGAGCGTACATCACTTCTCGGTTTTGCTACCTGTCATCACCTGAAGCTGCATCAACTGTTGATTCATGCAGCATGTTTATACTGTAGCAGCTTTTGCTATGACACACAGCTACAGTTTCCAAAGCATTTGGGTGAGCTTTTACAGATTGGGTGAAGGTTTTGGCTGTCTGCAAGCCGTATTTGTGTTGTGTGTGCAAGGCCTTTCATACAGCCACATCCTACGGGCTTGACACATGAACAGATGAGTAGTAATTCTTGTTTCTTTTCCAAATTTCTCTCCCAGAACTGAATATTTGAAAATCCAGATATCCAGGTTAAATTCAGTGATAAATCAGGCGCCCAATGAGTAATCTGCAACCACAGAGGCTTGATCGGCTAATGTGAGATAATCACTAACACAGGATCCAAGAGAAGCAGCAGGAAGTGCCGAAAAGGAAGGGACAGCTCGAACGGAAGAAGGTCTAATGACTCTGCCTCGTTTCTTCTAACTTTGTTCAAAACCCATTCCTTTTCGATTATTTATTCATGTTATTTTGTTATGCTTTGCAGAACACAGTGGCAGGCTCCTGCCCAGCATATGCTTCTTCTCAATCATTCTTGCTCTCTAAGCCCAAAAAGTCTATATTATCTTTTATTCTCATGTGATCCTGACATAGCCCATGGCTAGGTGGTCAATTATCTGTTGAACTATTCACTGGCTAGCCATATTGTAAAAAATACATCATACAGCTGGCTTCTCTAATTGGATTATGTTCAGCAACCCAAGGGTGAAGTTAATGCGTAGTCTAGATACAGATAATGCACATATATTGAAGACCCCTTTAAAAAACCCCATAGTGAAGTTATTGTTTAGTGCCTGTTGTGGTATTTTCAAGATCTCTCATTACTAAATAGCTGCTTTTTCAGTTGGAAAATCTTAGCATTAAATTTTTAGCAATTATATTTCCTCCTGGCCAAGATGAATTCCAACTTTTTAAATGTTAACTCAAAATGCTTTTTTCTAGCCGTTCACTGAGAGAGAATACTTTAACAAGCAAGGGAGCAGAAGAGCTCTGAACTATTATATGAGATGCTGGCCCTGAAGGGATGTGGAAGTTGATTTCTCCCCCGTGCAATTCCAAAATGGCTGACGTTTAAGTAAATCCTTCAGCTGTAACACCTCCAAAATATCACACACTAGAAAATAATTCCTACTTCCAGTAAGACAGTGAGCATTAAACACTAAGTGCATTTTAGCTTTAGTATTTTCTGTCCTTATGAGAACAACTGTGATTACAGCATCCTGCTTCTCTCGCTTCTCTGTAAGAAACTAGAAAGGAAATTTTTCAGGAAAAATTATAACAAGCATTTTTACACTATCATCATGTTCGATCAAATGACCAAGTCTGGTTACATTTTTAAAAACCCAAATGCCTAATATTCTTCCTTTTTTAATGCCACATATTGAATCGGGAAACCAGATTTTGATCATAAGGTAACCGGCGAATAGAAACATTTCTTCTGCACTATAATTTACCACTGCCAACTTCTACAGTAAAAACATTTTTCTAGGAAAATTCAATAAAACCAAAACATTTTGCAGTAATTTATTGATAAAGACTTGAAGAGTTGATGGCAGCATTAACCATGCTCCATCAAAACTGTTTGAATGCAGTACTGAACAATGTCAAAAAAACCCAAGTATAAATCACACCTAGATAAGAAATATATGAAGGTATACATAGAACAGTATTAACTCAAACAGGACCAATAAAAACGGTTCACTCGACAAGGCTGAAAGTAATAGTCATGACATGACATGGGGTTCTTGGCACAGACAGTAACTCCCACCTTACATGTCACTCCAAACATATACCTGTACCATGAAAAGATGGGAAATCATGTCACGCCTTCATGCCATGAAGCATAAAGATTACTTAGTCTTTGCAATTTCTAGATTAGTTTTATTTCAATGCTGTTAATAAACAGCTACTTCCCTATATCAGCTTATAAACTTTATTTAGCAGACTACTAATTTCCATGCCAAATATTACTATAGATTCCTCATTTCTTCTAAATAAATTTCTCAACTGATTGTGCTTATATGTCATTCTTTACTGCAATGTCCAGCACTTCCACTGGGTTTTAGGAAGGCCTGAACTACAAGTCACCAATCCCAAAGCGTGCTTAAGTGTAAGTGCTGTAACAGCTCTGAATGCCAAGCAAGTTAAAAGGTCCTCTGGAGAAGAACTGGTACTCCACAGAAACATAAATGTTGAAAAACCACCAAGGTTTGCTGGCTTGCTTGCCTCCAGGAGAATATTTTTTTCAGTCTGACTAGTACTGAATTAAAAAGTGAAATTTGGTATTACATACATGAATACTGAATTATGGTCACCTTAAAAATACAAAAACAAATGAAAACAAACTGACATAGGAGTTTATAGGAGTGAACTAAAAAATAATTTTGTGCAATTGCCTGCATAAAAACTGAGAGCATGAAAAGAGGTGAATTCAGCCTGTAGACTGGAAATATTTTAAACAACGAGAGTCCCAGGGAACAGCACAGTATGTGATAATAACCTTGCAGCATTGCAGACATTTTCTAGGGCTTAAAAATGTTTCTGTGTTCCTGTAAGCACTGATCTTCATGAAATCATATTAATGATATTCAGGCATATGTCAAGCCTATCATATACCTCTGTTTAAAGCTGCCACGCTAGCACACAACTAGTCTTATTGCTGAAATATCTGTAATGCACAAGACAGCAAAATGCAATTCTGACACTGGAAACAGGATAATACAGAGAATTCAACAGAATTACAGCAATAATTCCTAACTGTATAAGTAGCTGAGCCTTACCCAAGAAAATTGGCTGTTGTGCACCTCACCGAACCCAGTTCTGAATGAAGAGAACTTGAAGCCTGTTTTCCCCCTTCTGTGTAGACACCTGCTATTTTGAGGCAACTTATCTGTCAAACACGTTTGTAGTGCAAAAATTTTCAAATCTGACTCTCAGCCAAAGCTATTCTGCTGCAGATCAGGCAGCTGTAACTCTAACTCTTAGTGCCCTGAAAGAAACACGTACAAGCACATTTAATGAGATACCCAAAATCTGACTCAACCCAATATTATTTGACTTCCTGCATGCATGTTTTTAATAGGACCTCAAGTTAACCAAAGCTTCTGGACAGATTTCTGCCCAGGTCTTTTGCCTGCAAGTAACCCAAAACACCAAAAAGGCTTTTAAATCTCAAAAGCCAGTTTTAAGCAGGAACATGTAACCCTTTTTGAATACAGAAAATTCAGAGTGACTCTACAAGACAGAGGCCAAGTAAAAATGGTTTATAAACAAACCTTCCTCCTACACACACAGTGTCTTTCCAGGAAGGTTCTTTCCTTTGGGTTTGGCTTTAGCCCAGCAATGCAGTGCCTTCCTGGGACTGAAAAAACCCTGCACACAGTATTTATGGCCATTTGGAAAAGTTTATCCTTCCTATCAGCCAGCAGCTCAGCTAAATACCTGCTCCTTGCTGTCCTCAGCCCAGAGCAGGAGCAAACTCCCATTCTCTTTGGAGGAATCAAGTCTTTTCCTCAACAAAGCCAGGTGCTGTGGGAACAAGAGCATGGAAATAAACCAAGTCCTGCTCAGGATTACAGCCACATTTCAGCAAACGTGCCCAGGACTCCTGGCTGGGTCAGAGCAGCTACAGCTTCCCCACAGGGGCTACCAGGAGCTGGTGTTGCAGGCATGTTCCCCAAAACCACCAGGTTTCTGAGGGAAGCAGACACACCCCAGAAAACATGGATATAAGGAAGCCTTGATATACAAAATGTTTCAGCTCTTTTCCTGTTATCCTGAGCAACAGGATATAGCATCCAGGCCATTCTGGATACTACAGCCCCTGTGCAGCCCAGGACACCCTAAGGAGCTCTGTGCAGAGATGCTCAAAGGCAGAGGGTAAGCACTGAGGTGGCTGTATGGGGCTGGTTGGACACAGCCAGTTCTTGTCTTAAGTCCACTTTTAAACAAGCCAAAAATATGGTGCATTGTGAAAACTAGAAAAACAGAAAACAGCCCCCAGATGCAGCAACAGTTGAAGGCAGAAGGCAAGTATTAATTCAAAACCTAAGTTTTATTTTCTTCCACAATACAAAAGAAGAGAAATCGGAACATTTATTTTCACACAGTTGTCTGTTCAGGAGTTATACTCAGCACAGTGGGGAAAAACATGTAAATCTACCTACATTCAGATGAAAACATACCTTCGGTTTTCACTTAAAAGGCAGCCCATGACAGAATGAGAAAAATAACTGTTTAAAAAAGATAAGCAAGTGATATTTTTAGTATTATTGTAATATGTCCTTAGATCAGATGTTTTTTACTGTAGAATTAGGTGAAGATACTTCCCAAATTTATATGACTTCAGTGCTGCAGCATAAATTACAAAAAATTAACTGTATTCCTTCCAGAGAAGTCAAGCATCCTTTGTTCTCCAATTTTATGTCACTGTCTTCAAAACAGACAAGGGAACAGAACCTTCCCACTAAAAGCAGTTCAAAACTTGCCCTTGACTTCTATGGTTAAAGGCTGATTTCACAGAATCACAGAATGTTAGAGATTGGAAGGGACCTCGAAAGATCATTGAGTAATGACTACAAAAACTTACTCAGGAGTATGTAACTCACAGGCAAAAGATACAAAGCCACCACAAGCAGGAGCAGAGATGGCAATGATTCCTCCCCTCCCTGCCTTCCTCTCCTACCTCGGTTACCCACCAGGCAAAAGCAGCGCTCAGTATGCAGACATCTGGTGCTAACTCCCTTTACTGCTGGGATAGTAATAACTGGGACCCCTGCACCAATCTAGTGGATGCCTCTATTCTTTGGCAAGTTAATCACTCAGTGTTACTACTGATAAATTAAATTTGAATATTGTAGATAATGCAGACGAGTAGTGGATATTAATCTGGCATTTTGGTTTGTGTTTTAGTCCTGTATAAGAGCTAGGTAAGGCTGAGAGGCAGGTAAGGCTGAGAGGCAGGTAAGTCAATCGGGTCATGAAGAGAATCCTGCAAGAAAACTGCCCTTCTGTTCCCAAAAGGGCAGTTCTTCCAGGGGATATTAGCATTTCTTTAGCTTGTCTCCTCCACTGCAAGGCAGCTGCATTAGCGATTAACCACTGTGGGCACTGTGATATACAAAGTGATTAAGAAAGTGACACACCATTCCATTAGAAGAGAGAGGAAGAATGAAGTGAATGAATGGTGGCAAATGACGGACGTACCGAAGAGGTCAGACAGGTGGGATAAAATGTCAAGACACAGCTGCATTTAAATGCAACAGTCAGTTGATAGGAAGCTGTCAGACCTCCCTGAATGTGCCTTACGGTAATGAGGGATCTTCAACTACTTAGTGGATGCATTTCTCAGGATTCAGTATCTCATCGGAGAGGGTGCGTAGAACTGGAATGCACCGATCTCTACAACTGCCTGTTTATACTTCGATGAGGACAAAAGTATTTATACTCTTCAGTGAACACAGTGAAGTAACAGCAAAAAGCAGAAATAAGCACTAAGGGTACCTGCGCAAAATCCGCTGCAAGTCGCATCTTCCCACCTTCACCAAGGGGCCTTATTAGACTGGCATTGCGCATGAAAAGTTCAATTGCTCTTTGAGCTATGGCTTCGGTGTTCTCAAAGACAAAGTCAAAACACTCAAAATGTCTGAAGTAGTCATTCATGACTCTTGCTATAAAACCCTGTAGTTCTTTCATGTACAGAGAACAAGGGACATCTGGTTTTCCTGAGCTGGATAATGATCTGAAAAAAAAAAAAAAAAAAGAAAAAAGAAATGGAGACAGATAAATTAATCTTTAAAACACATCAAAAAACTATTGGATTCTTATTAAATTTTTTTCCTGCCCCTGAAGTCATGGCATGAGTTGTAGAGTCTCATTTCTGCTCAGAATAAAGAGCATGTAGCTCTCTCTGAAACTGTAGTCAAAAAAATATCTCTTTATTAGCCATTCCCACCCTAACAAGATAAAGGAAATCACCCCACTCCTACCAAACTTGCAGAGCCTACACCAGTTTGGAGCCTAACCTCAAATCCAGCCCCTAAATTTAAACATCCTAGCTGTTGATTTGAAACTCTAATAATAGATCAGAAAATACAAGCACATGTCACAGGGTTACTAGTCTAGTCTATTCCAAAACTGTTCTCTGTATAGAATTAGTTTCCTAGATTGCTCCAAACCCAGGATTAAAAAGTCAACCTAATTATCACAGAAGCAGCACAGAAGCTACAGAACACAGAAATGAATCACTTATTTCTTTGAGCCCCACTCAGGCAAAAGAGCTCTTCCAAACTCAAGAACCTGAGCATAGAGCCTACCTAACAAAACCTTTGGCTGGAATCAGTTTATCCACCTAGAGGGGTATTTTGCTAGTGGTGGCAAAAGAAAGACGGAGAGGGTAAAATATTGTTTAGGAAAAAAAAAGCCAAAAGGAAAATTTAAAACACATCTGAAAATATAGTCTTTTTTTAGTGAATTTCCAAGACACAATCCAGGACATCTGATGATGACATAAGCAATGTCAGAACAGAGATAACAACCAAAATAATGTGCTCATGAAGGAAGTCTCAATTATAGATAAGACTCAAGATCTTAAATGAAGATAAAGAATAGTGGAAATTTTAATTAAAATGTTATGGGAAAATAGCATAATACACTAAATCTGAGCTTTCAGTAAAAAGATTTTTTGAACCATTTCATATTCAATAATACCTTAGAAAAATTTCTGCATAATTTTGAATCAGAGATTATATGCTCTATTTTGAGAAACAAGAATATTGACAGTTCTGAAGACTGCCCACAAAACTAAGTTTTTGACAGAAAAAAAATGGTGTTTTTAAGAAGAAAAATGGCCTCTGCTTGGCTTTATTTTTCTATTTAAAATGAATTTTACTCAACAGATATTAAAAAAAAAAAAGGGGGGGGGGAAGAATACAGATGCTACCTGATTAATTTGTTTCAATAGATAGGTGTAATTCTGCTTTCTGTGTTCACTGACCATAAAGCATTGCCTTCCCCTCAACAAACAAGTGCTCTTGCTCCAAGGACATTGTGGCAATAACAATCTATTATGCATATGCAGGACATCTTACTAAAGCAATGGTAAATTTAAAAAATATTTCTAGTTACCCAGAAAAATCTTCCTGGTGCATTGTGATGATAATAGCTTCTACTGAATCTCCTACAGAGTTCAGTAACGGTTGAACAGCACTACCCATTAGATCATAGACTGCCTAAAATAGAATAAGAAAAAAAGCAGAAGTAAAGAAACTGAAACTAGTAGTATTTGCATTTCAACACCTCAAAATACCTTGACAAACAGTTTATTTCAACAGTGCTTTTTATTATTCTGCATTAGAAACTGCAAAATGGAAGGACAAAAGTCTGAGATAACATTTCTCTTTAATTGATTTTACCAGTAAAGTAACAGAAATAAGGCTGTTTACTACTTCTATGTAAGGCTTTCCTTCAAAAAGGTGCACAACAATCTGGCATTAAAAAAATGTAGACGTACATGTTTTGGTGCACACACTTCCTTCAGCCATTTATTCCCCAGACACGCAAGCTGCCCTCCATTTCTCTGCACACAGCCCCTCCCAGATTAGTGCACAGCAGGATGGATGTGGATAGCTGTCATCCACAGAGGGCTGCACAGCCATCCACATCACCCCCCAGTAAAGCACCGGGTAGCGTAAAGACCATAATTTTATGTGTGTGTCAGGGGTGTAAGGAGGTAAGTTATTGCTGTGTGAATGCTGCAGAGAAAAACATTTATTTTCACAGTCAGATGACATCTGTGTTCCAACCATTATGAGAATATTCTTGAATACAAATGCTACTCAGGCAGTGATTTAGCACACGAAACATATATGTAGCTGCAGATATAACAAAATACAAATTTCAGAATATTTGTATACTTTTGACTAACGTATACTGACACAAAATAATGCCTGGGAAAATAAGCACCCATTGTAAGTGTAATGAACAAAGCAAAGCTCAGCCCTAACCCTGCAGCGTATGGACATCCCATTACCTTTAAGGCAGTTGTGACTGCTTGCTCAGCGGCTGCTGGAAATGAGTTCTGATTGGTAATGACCTAAAAATTTTAAAGTAATTGTTAATAGTCAACATTCAACAAATTATTTGAATCCATAACATTTAATTTAATTTAAAAACAGACTAAGTTATTCTTATTGGTGAGTGATTTACACAGGTATAGATGTGTTTTATACAGACAGCGTATAAAATGCACCAGTACCAGTCCTTTGCTCTCAGATTTCCTGTGGACTCTGCCTCTGCCTTGGCCAAGAAGTGATTCAGTTGAGTTCAACTGAAATTTAGCTGAAGGGTAAACAGAATCAGAATAAAAATAAGTGGTGTATTCTCCCACTGCTAAGTACAGAATTTATGGAGAACTATACAAGCAACTCTACAGCAAATGCTTGAAAGAACGGTTGTTCTTTTTCAGTACTATGACTATTATAACTACACGTTAAATAGCTGTTTATGTACAGCTACAGCAATATTAGAATTGAAAGTCAAGGAATGATCTGAGGAATATTCTACCAATTTCCTTGCAGCTATGAACATGCTATACAATAGTATTTCTAAGCCAGAGAAGTACTGAACTCAAAGACTGAATCATATCAGATCTCCCTCCAACACTAAGGCACATGAGGTTCATTACTAAATACATCAGAGAAAGCAGACTTAAAAGTTGATCTACCATCTGTTTGCAAAATCCAAGCAAATTTTGTAGGTTTTTTAGCAGTTTTAACATTCTTTAAACATATCCACAGTCAGGAATACTCATGATCTTGTTTCTAATCAGGCTAGGATTTAAACAGAATTAACTACAGCTACCACTATATCTGTTTTAATTTACAAACTGTGTAACCATTGGCATCACTGAGCCAGCAAATTGGAATTATTCATATCTGTGCTTAGTCCTGAAAACATTTTCAGGCCAGACTTTGGTCGCAGCAACAATGCACACAGATATTTGTGAGGTGCTGCTTTTCCTTATTTCACCCTTTCCTTCCCCTTTTCAGTTTGGCCACAATCGTGGGAAAGCAGTGAGGGTCTTTTTGGAAAAATAACCTTGGGCTGGGGCAGATGCAGACCAGGGCTATCAGGATGACTGATACAAAGACAGACCTTACTTGGTAAGAAAAAAACAGAAAGGAGGGTGTAGTGAGGTGGGTGCTGGCCTCTTCTCTAAAGTAACAAGTGACAGGACAAGAGGAAATGGCCTCAAGTTACACCAGGGAAGGTTTAGGCTGGATATTGGGAAAAATTTCTTCACTGAAAGAGTGATCAGGCATTGGAACAGGCTGCCCAGGGGAGTGGTGGAGTCACCATCCCTGGAGGTGTTCAAGAAACATGTAGATGTGGTGCTTAGGGACATGGTTTAGTGAGTTAGGTGGTGTTGGGTTGGACTTGATGATCCTTGAGGTCTTTTCCAACCTTAATGATTCTATGATTCTATGATTCTATGAATGGGTTCAATTGTTTAGGCTCACAAAACAGACTGTGAGATGTGATTAATTTCTATAAACACATCTTTCACTCCTCTTCTAATATGGACAATTTATTATACAGTGGTACTTACAAGGGCTAAGAAGTCACAGAGAGTTGTACAAATGCATAGCAAGGTGCAGCTCTTAACCCCAAATTGCCCTGTATTTGTCAGGGTTCTCATCAGCTAATGGGAGAATAGGCATACAACAGAGCAAACAAGTTAACATGATGGCAAGAAGAGAAATACCAAAGTAAGCCTACCTTCATAACCGATTGGTGCAGTTTGTATAGTGAATTAACTACAGCCACGTTCCTCCTCTGCCCTTCTGTGAGTGGTCCAATCACCTGGCTGGCATCTCCTTGAGTAGACAGCTGCAGCGATTGCAGGAATTGTTAAAACAATACCAACTCTTTAAACAGTGTATCACCGCAAAATTATAGTTAACTAAGACCATGGCAGAAAGCCACAGCTCTTTCGTACCAACATTCTTTCATTTAACTCTTGTCTTGATTCATGTGATTTCCATCTCCAGACAATACAAACTGAAACAACAGGAACAGGAACTGTGAGAGACTGCTGTCTCAGCTCTCAAACCATAGCACTCGCACCCCAATCTGCTGGAGATACCTGGTCCCAGATCAACTTCAACTTTCTAATCTAAGAATCAGGTGAAGCCACGTACCCGATGGTGCAGTGTAAACTATCAGCAGAACTGAGAAGGGTTTGCTTTTCTGTATACCCTCAGTCCTTACTTCTGACAGCCTTTCAAGCCTCTCCTTAAAAATAGGGTGCTTACAGCTTTGTGGCTTGTAATAAACAGGAAAACAGAACTGCAAGAACCAAAAAAACCAGTCCTGTCACGAAAAAGGATTCTATGCATTAAAATCTCAGCAAAAATAATAATAAGTTCTTCATATTTAAACTCCTCAAAGCATGCATTTTTTTTATCATTACCACAGAAATAAAAGTTCCAGGATGATACAGAAATAGTAATTAACTACAGAACAGTCCCATAAGGATACCACAGCATATGTTTATAATTTAAAATAAAATAAATTGTAATTGGGAGACAAATGGAAATTTTCTTGTGCCCTGAAAGCTGCAGAAATACAAAGAATTGACAAAAGGCTATGTGAATTCTAGAAGTATGTCTAAATATTAGAGCAAGAATAGCTATTAATAGAAGGCTTTACTGAGATATAATTATATGACTAGTTATCTATATTTCAGGATACAAAATTATCCTCCAGGAAGCTCCTGAAGATGCCTAGCTCCAAAAGTCTCTCCGTAAAAACATATTCAAGTCATTGAACAAGTCATCAAGAGACTTTTATGAAGTGTCTCTTTAATCACAGTTGTAGGACCTACAAAAAGCTCCTAATCGAAAACTGAATATGCAGTAGCGGTTCTTTAAGAATAAAAGGAACAAACATAACATGAAAATTTTTAAGTTATGGGAAACAGTGAATCTTTACTAGCAAACTACTATTCCTGTACTTCCCATCACTTCCACTCAGCATAAACACAGATACCATGCAAGCAAAGTTATCTAGTATTTGCCAGCACTGCTCATAATGAAGCATTAGACAAGTTCTTGCAAGCACACAGAACACAAACCTACTCATAGCACTAAGGTTACAATATCAGTTCATTCCCCTTTCTTCAAATTTAGGGATTATTCCAGTATAAATAGGTTTCTGGGGCCTTTGCAGAGGGAAAAATATTTTCCAATGCATCTAAAATTATTTGACATCAGAATGCATCTTTAGGCTATCTGACAAATATATCATCTCTGCCTCTTCCTGACTTCCTGATGCGAACAGCCATGTGAGCTACATTTCTGTTTGCTTCCTGCTATTTCCATTTGACAGACCTGACTGGTTTTAAGCATTCTGCTTCTCACATTTACAGCTTCACAGATTAATAACAAAACAGCTGTGCAGAGAAACACCTCGTCCATCCAGCTCACCACCTTCCCAGGCCCCAATAACCTTTTTTTCCCCACACCTTTTTTAAGCACTGCACAGACTATTCAACTCAGTTGGGTTTGTTGCACATTTACAACTATTAAACACAAATGACACTACTAAGACAGTAAAATTTTACATCCCAGTCGCTTAAATTTCAGTTCCTCAGAGTCTACTGTAAAGGTCTCACAATTTCTTTTTCTTAAACATTATGAAATCATTAGACTGTGTCTCTTCTGCTGGTAGAAAAGCTTAACTGATAAGTAAAACCAATAACAAGTATAAACATAACCCTTCTGCAGGAACAAGCAACCCTTGCAGTCAGAATAGTGCACAAGAGCTTCCCAGGTAAAGTCTAAAAAATGCCTTAAAAGTAACAAATCTTTCTAAAATTACCATATTAAATTCCCTTAAATTGATCAATTTGAACTTTGACAGCTAGATGTGTTGACCCCTTGTATCTTAAAACAAAATCCCTGGTCTAAAACAACAAGGCTTGGAAAACTCGACTCTCGTAACTAGCAGTAGGAACTGGGTAGCCCAGGGCTCCCTAGGACCGCTCCTCCTGAAAGTGTGACATGGGAACACCCGGTACCTACATGGTTAGGTGTGCCCTACCATCATGGGGACACCTGGTACCTACACACGTAGGTGTGCCCTACCATCTACAGCAGAAGTCTCAAGTGGTCGTTCCCATCTCTTGCTGTCACCACAATGATTTCTATGACCTCGCCCTGAGGCAAGAAGGTTCTGCACTGACTCTGTCCAACATGGTTCATGGACATACAATTTGTCACTGGCACAGATCTGGATTTCAGGTAGTTTATCATTATTCCAATATTCCAATACCTCAGACTGAATTCTTGACACCTGTAATATCCATTGTACAATCATGCATCCAGGTAGGAAAATGCCATCATTGTGTCTCCCTGGTTCCAACAAACCACACTTATGGTCTATTTACTTTAGACACAAATCACCTCTCAATTTATTTTCCAGCATACCAGGTTTTATCAATGATTCACATTCATCACTCTCATTTGTATTGCAAGTACTTTTGAAGTTCTGTGCTGTACATAGCTTATGCATTTAAGCCCAGTTCTTCCTCCGTTATCTGTCTGCGGAGGATTGCACTATGTAAACAGGTTAAGTCAAGTAAGTGTGAAGCCAAGCACATCCACTCAGCTGAAAGACACAGTCCAAGGGGCTTCTTTTGATGAGGGCATTAGAGACAAAATCTGATGCCTTTTTAATCAGTTAGATTAATCCAGAAACGCAGAAAGCTAGGAGGATGAATTTATTCTAAGAAGAAAAAGGGAGGTCAGAAGGGGCGACTTCATCCCAAATCAGAATCTATTTTGGGAAAGAAACAACTAAAAGACAAAGCATAGCTGAAGGACCAGATCCCATCTCCAGGGACCTGTCACCCTGGGAGTTAGTCTGGCTTGAGCCTGCTAGCTGAAAAGAAAACAGTGGAAAAGAAACCATGCTGAAGCCAGACCTGAATGAGCAGTAACAACAAGGACTAACTGTTCCACTTTTCTGTATTTGTCTTTAAGTATAGCAATTGACTTTTACACTCTTCACTTTAGTTGGGTAAACTGTTTCTGCTTTTACCTCAAAGCCTGTCTACTATTTACACCAATTTCATGGGCACTAGCAAAGCACAGGCACCCCATTCCCTAGCAAGTGGCAGTTCTACAACATGTGACAGGTCAGTATGAGCTCCCTTTGCCTGCATGAGCTACCAGCACACTGGCAACATGAGATGCTAGTAAGGAAGAGAGGAATGAGGAAGAGAAGTCTCCCACCAGCGAATAATACTAAGGACTTTTGTATCATGCATCCAGGCACTAGAACAAGGGCTGTGTCTTGTGGTACCCTCAAGAATGAGCTTCCATCCCACAGAGCATTTCAAAACAACTCAAAAGGCAGCTGTTAAACTAAAATGAGAATGAAACATTGGAGGTACTGCCTTTCTGACATGTATATGAGGACATTCTCTAAGGTAGGAGCTTGAAATCTGCAGGTTCAATCCAGTAGCTGACTAGCTGGAGGAAGCTGTCTAGAAAACTTTTTTTTTTTAATCTAAGTCAACAGAATCTGAGGACTAAATAGTATATTGGGTAGTTTATTGACCCAAAAAGGACACTTGTAGAAGCTGATACACAAAAAAGTGTGTCACAAAAAGGAACAAGCTGACCGAAGGCCATCTGACCTGCTTCAGCCCAACATGGTGAAGAAACTGTAAGCCATGACTGGCACTGTGCTCTCATCAAATTCACAAGTCCTTCTGGAAAATAGTTTCTTTTAGTTTGTATCCTTCAGCACACTAACATGGTTGCACTGCTTCGCCTGCAGAAATTGCAGGTGCCTCATATTAGGTCAGTAAATTGCACAATGCAGAAAATTTCAGGAATGATGCACCTGACCACATGCAGGACACCACAAAGCATAGAAATAAGCACTTCTACTGAGTAATTCATCTAGGCTATTTTGGAGATCCTGCTTTAGGGAGAGAGTAAAGGCACTCTGTATGCACCCATTTCCCTCCACTAACTATACAGGAATCAAAAGCCATACTGCAGATACATACAGGTAGCTATACTGCCTGAAGTCACATCAGGTGAATTCTCACCCTATAAATGTATTTGCACCCCTTTGCATAGACTTGTCTTGGAAATAACTAGATCAAGTGTTCTGGATTTTAGACTTTTCTGTGTTTAATACTTAAGAACAGACATCTAATTTGACAGCATGGATTTGATCTCACACGTTGAGACATGTGCTATGCTAAGATTGCTTTGGGTTTAAATTCTTGTTTTTACCATGAAGCAATGAATGTAGAATTTAGATTAGGACATGAATCAAATAATCAGTTCTCCCTCAGGTTATAAAATAATGCTGACTGAGTTTGTCTTTTTCTTGTAGAAAAGCTCAGATAAATCTCTTCCTATAATTTGTTTAGTGTTTCAAAGTGACTAACTTCCCCTCTTTCAACAGGTGGCAGCTCAGAAGAGGCACTGATTTGCGAGCTGGTTGGCTACCATTCCCTTCACAGACTTAACATTTTGTGAAAAAGCTCAGTTTCACACTAAGTAACTAAGATCTTGTGTGCATCCTTACTGACAGCTTTGTAAAACTCCAGTTATTTGATTTCTCTACTCTAAAACAGCCCCAGCAAACCCACTCTCTAAAGAGCAGGAAACAGCATCATAATTTAGAAGCACAGAGAAGATCTTAAATCAAAATAAGACAATAGTAGTGCCATGCAACCAAGCATTCAATCTAACTCCAGGATCACGAGACTAATGTGTTTTGATAGCACAAATTGAACTCCAATTGTCAAGTTGACATTTTGAAGAATAAATACATTCCTAATAGAGGCAGCTGATGTGGCCATA